ATATAATAAGCATATTTTGATAATGATTTTTTCTCATTTTCTTTCGGCAGCGTCAATAAAAAAAATAAGGTGAGAAACAAAAAGAAAGCAGAGTTAAGCAGAAGAACATGCAAAATGAGAGTGAACAGGTATTTATCCAAATCACACAAATATAACAAGGGAAAAAACACCACAAATAAGTTCCATTCACCATGTCCAATAAATTGTTCATGTTTTTTTAAATTGCATTTTTGAATTATTTTTATTAATAATATTATTATTATTTTTAATGGTATGTGTATCTGATGACCCATATGAAAGATAGAACATAAAAGCAGGACCTCAAGTCTGATCTGAAAAATACAAGTATTCGATTTCCAGAACTGGGACTGTTTTAGGAAGACTAAAAAWAAATTCTACCACCAGCTGTTGAAACTCAGAGTTGAAACTTTAAAACTCACAGTCTCGTTTTTTTTTGTTCATCACAAAAATACAATATGTCAAAAAAATGACAAAAATATCTACAATAATCACATCAAATGTGACAAAATCACTTAAAATGATTCATTTTTCGTGCAAATTGTTGTTTATCCTAAATAACAGTGGCAGCTTTGTTTATATTTTTCTCACATGCACAGAGCAGTAAAATCATCCCTCTCTCCAGCAGTGGTTCTGCCGGTGACTCGGTGGATCAGACAGAAAGTGCTGGAAGCTGAGGGAGGTGGAGATGGACACAGACAGAAGTCACTCATCACAGCAGTCCAGGTATTGGCACATCTGAGCTCAGTGACCACTCCCCCGGTGTGATTGGCGGACAAAATGAATTCTTCCATCGACAGATGTGCGTCTCTATGTGCCAATAGAGGGCCAGAGCCGATGAGGCGATTGACAGAGTGATGGAGGCAAAGAGAAGGAGGGCAAGAAGAGGAGAGATGACATCAYGTGGTGAGTTAGTTGCTACACGTGTTAGAATCCACACAAGGCGTGAGGATAGAGAGGAGAAATAAGAAGAGAGACAGTGCTGCACATGCACATCCTGCCAGAACTCACCTCAAAGACTTGTCTGCAGTTCCCTTCGAGCTCCTTTYGGCTTGATGAAGCACTCCGACCTATAGGGTGCCAAATGGAGTTATACAAAGAGATGTGGAAACAGAGGAGCGCAGGCAGGGCACTTCAGCGYGTCTGAGGCCCACAGGAGGAGCGAGGACGGGGAGCTGGCTTGGTAGTGGTTCAGAGACAGAGGTCCATCCATCACACATGTCCTGACCTCCAGCTGACCCCGGCATAGCAGCCAATGAGGCGCCCTCACCCCTTAAAGAAGGCTCCCCAACCCACCCCCACCCGTGCACACACTTATCTCCCCACACATGTGCGTCCAAACACACAGGAGATCGGATGACACTCTGAGGAGTCTGGGTGCTCTTTGTGTAGGCCGTCCTGGCTTCCTCAAACCCTCTTTTTCTGTGAGTACCAACACTTGACAAACAGACACAAACATCCACTCTGTTCACTTTTAAGACCAGGGTTAAGGTCTTTGGTAAATCCTAAGGACTTCCTTGGGTTTCCTGAAGTATCCCTTGCTTATGCTTGTGGCGGACAAACATGGCCACCTTTCCTCATTCTTCTCTTTATGCTTGCATTCATAGTTATCTCTATCAATAACATCTTCTTCTTTGTCTTTCTTCCCATGAAACCCACATCAGGACCAATCTTTTTTTGTTTGTCTGTATCTCTTCGCTGTCCTCTCTAACCCCATAGTTTTGTTAGAGACTACTTCCAAGAGTTTTTCTTTCCCACTGTCGCCAATGTGCTGCTCAGGATGAGAGACTGCGATGAAGTGAACATTCAACAATCTTCTGTCTTCCTTTGATGCATAATGTTTACTAAATGGTATTTTAAAATGCGTATGAATGTTTTGTACAGTGAAATTAGGGGACTTTTGTGGTGATTTGGCGCAATAGAAATTAAATGAATTGAAGTCAAACTGAAGTCATCACAGGGTTACTGACTAGACTGACAGTTATTAAGAATGTACTGTAACCAAAATTACATATTAGTGATCTATCTATCTATCTATCTATCTATCTATCTATCTATCTATCTATCTATCTATCTATCTATCTATCTATCTATCTATCTATCTATCTATC